ATATGCAAAGTGTGGATAGAATCAGCTCCTAAATCCTCTTTAACTCTAAAATTCTACGACTTTGATTTGCCCAAGGTCACATATTGACCTTGGGGACAGCTAAGGGGCACAGCAGATAGAGTGCCGGGCCTGCAGTCAGGAATACTCATCTTCCTGAGTTCAAATCTGGCCTCACACACTTAACCTTGTTTCCCTCAGTTTCCTCATCTGTCAAATGAGCTGGAGAAGGAAATGGCAAACACTCCAGTATCTCTGCCAAGAAAACCCCAAATGGGGTCACAAAGATCAGCCATGACTGAAACGACTGAACAACAACAACACTTTGACCAGTGAGTGACCAGGTCTTCTGATTCCTAGCCTGATGTGCCTCCCACTGCACCACTGTCTCTTGTTATATTGTCTTTTAGTTTTACATGGACAAAGCCTATGTCTGGCATAGGGACACATAACTTCCAATAAAACCAATGCCCAAGCCAAACCCTAGAAACAAGTGAGTGGGCAGCCCAGGATTAAAGGGAGCAGTGTGAGTTTTAATTTCAGGGCTCCCTTCCCTGCCCCCAAGTTAAATTTGGATCATCTTACTTTGTCTCAATTTATCCCAAGGTCTCCTAGACACTCTCTTACCTCAGGCCTTCCCTTTGGGCAGAGCCTGTGGGGGCTGTTTGGGCCAGAGGTTTCCATTTACAGAGGATTTAACACCTTTTTTCTAAAACTGAGGCTCCTACAAATACCAGGGGAAGATAGAGAAGTACAATGTGTCCAGGCATCGACGTTGAAGCATCCATATTAATAACCCAGATCTACCCTCTAAGACACATCGGCCCAGAAAGCGTGTGGTTGACTAGTTAGCGAACTTGGTAATTTTGGAGATCTATTATGACCATAAATCTATAAAATGACAGTGGCACTGAATAATAAGTGAACACATCATTCCTTAAGGTTTATGAAATGCTTGGCATATATTCTCACATTGAAATTTCTCAACCACCTTACAAGGTGTACTATAGGTATTATTATTCCCCATTTTACAGATGAAGAAACTGAGGCAGAGATGAAATAACTTGCCTAGGGACATATAACCAGTAGGTAAGTGTGTGAATCTTTCAGATTCCAAGTCCAGGGCTCTTTCCACTGTGCCGTGTGAGCAAACTGACTTCCTCACTGCTACCACACTGATCAATGATTTTTCTGAAGATACTGGCTTCCTTTGACTCCTTTTTCCCTTCAGACTCAAGCAAAACCCACAATTCCAAGGAGGCAGCATGGCACAGCACAATAGGTCCCCCAGGCAAGCTGTATGTCTGGGCTGAGATCTCACTGAGACCAATAATGTGCTGAGGGAGCTGAGGCCAAGGACATGATGTTCTCTGAAGAATGAGGACAGGAAGATCAACCTCACTGGGGAGGCTCTGAGCCCTTGGGGTGTCAGGGTCACACAAAGACTCTTCTTGTAAGAGCAGACGCACACAATTACAACCCCACTTATCCGCTGGGTAAGGGACACAGAAGCCTTAAAGAAAAACAAGGAGGCATGCAGGGAGTTGAAATTTCCCAACCCTGCTAAGCCAATCTTTCCCTCAGATGACATGTGGGGTCAAGAACAACCAGCTGGGAGTCAGGAGATCTAGTGTGAGTTCTGCTAATTAGACAGGTCCCTTCTCTCTAGGCCTCAGTTTCTCATCTGTAAAATAAGGACACCACTATTTGCCTCAGAGGATGTGTAAGATAAATGAAAAACATCAAATACAAGGTGCCATTTATTGTTGTTGTTTTGAGGGGCCGTGAAGGAGGCAGAAGCTGAGGGCTCCAGACCAAGAACTAGGCAGTCAGAGCACCTCCTGGCCATGTCCCTGGCTTCCCTCTCCTGTGTGGCAAAGCTAATTTTATCCAAGAAAGTAAGTGAGGAACAAGCTACCAGGACCATGTAGCTGTCTAAAGCCTTCACAGCCTAAAGGAAAAAAAAAATTCCTTGTTAGAGACTGAAGGGGAAAAAAAGCCCTTGTTAGAGAATTCTTAAAGGATGGCTGGCATCTGAGCAATCAAAATAACCCTTACACAATGATACGGGGTATCCCAAAAATTCAAGTGCAGTTTTAAGCTTTGATGGCTTCAAGAAAGAGTTATCAAGGAGAGGATCTGGAGACTTTCATCTTCAAGAACTACAAACTGCACCTAAGACTTTTGTAATACTCTGAACAGTTTTCTTTTGTTCATTTTTAAGGCATTTATTTTCTCTCCCTCCCCTATCCTCCTCATGGGAGGGATAAGGAGGGTGAAAGGGAAACAAAACCTTTGTAACAAGTAGGCAATAGGGAGGCACAGTGGATAGAGCACTGGTCCTGGAGACAGAAAGACCTGAGTTCAAATATGATCACAGACACTTACCAGCTGTGTGACCCTGAGTAAATCACTTAACCTCTGTCTGCCTCAGTTTTCTCATCTGGAAAACAAGGATGATGATAGCACCTACCTCCTAGGTTGTTGTGAGGATCAAATGAGATAATAATTCTAAATCACTCAGCACAGTACCTGGCACATGGTGGGGTTATATAAATGTTAACTATTGTTATTATTATTATTATTATTAGAGTCAAGTAAAACAAACTACCACATCAGCCACTGAGAGCATGCATCTTACTTTGTCTACTATTCCATCACCTTTCTGTTAGGAGACTACACAGTTTTCAAAAGACAGTTCCCCACCCACGATCACATTTGGTTCTTAGAACAATCTTAGGTGATAGGTAGGTCAGGGATTATGATTCTCCTCTGACAAGTGAGACTGAGGCCCAGAGGGAAACAGCAAAATCTCAGTGCTTGTTACGTGGTGAAAGTAGGGTGACAACCTAGAACTCCTGAGTTGTGGGCCAGGCCAGGGCTCCTGCTCCAGCACCACACCGTCTGCCTATTGCAACAGTTTATCTTGATCAGACCTGAGATTCAATGAGCTAGTGCACACCAGAGACAAGAGTGGCAGAAAAGCCCCCAACTTCTGCACTTGGTGCAAGCTTGTCTAGGACTTTTAGGACTCTAGGACTGATGCTCTGGAGTTGGTGTCCCAAGGCAATGAGAGAGAATAGAAAGCAGTAAGTCAGCAAGAGGAAAGCAGATGGATGTGTGTGTGTGTGTGTGTGTGTGTGTGTGTGTGTGTGTGTGCGCGCGCGTGCTAGCATTTTGACAATATTCCTGCAGAATGTGTTACCAATTTGGACAGATGACCCGGCCACATAGGAAGAAAGGGAATTTAAAATGGACCCAGGTACGGTTAAAGAAGTTACAAGAATGATAGAATCCCAAGATCTGAAGTTCTTTAAGGCTGGTGTAGGAGCCCAGGTCCTTTCAGGGGGCCTTCATTCTTAGACAAGGGCAACCACTGGCTAGGCTGGGGAAGAAGGGGATGGCTTCCCATCCAATATGACCTTCTTTCTCAACCAAACTCCCAGTTTACAGAACTAGCAGTACTCTGGGTCCTTGAGATCCTCCAACTGAAGGTAGATTAGGGGATTCAAATGTCTTGAGTATTGTGAGACTGGATGAGAATGGGGGCAGGGGTAGGGAAGGGCTAGCCTTTGGAAAAGAACCCTGGGAAGTAAATGGCACACAGTCTAACAGGAAGAGAACTGGGTGGAGAGCCAGGCGTCCTGGGTCCCAGTCCCAGTTCTGCTCCTGTGACCTTGGGAGAGTCTCTCCCCCTCTCTGGGCCTCAATCATCTAGAATAATCTCTAAGGTCCCTTCCAGCTCTGATGTTCTATAAACCTACCTGAGGAACCCTGAAAGTTCCCTTGCCATCCTTCAGGGGCTGAGTATTCAGCTTGAGAATGAGTCTGCACCCAACTCTTTATTTCCTTTTCATTCCCTTCTCAGTCACCTGGTCATGGGGTTGAGTCCCATTTTGGAAGGATTAGGTCCAGGAACAGGAAGAATTAATTCAATTGCAATAAGACCCTGATCTCAGAGGGCAGGGACTACTTTTAATCTATATATTCCAAATGCAGTGCACATAGTAGGTGCTTTAAAATACCTTGTTGAACTGAATTAATTGCCTTGGTGAAAAGGTTTGTCTGTTTAACACAAGGTTATGAAACCTGTGGGTTTCATTCTATAGATTCATAGAAAGTTGGAACTGGAAGAGACCTTAGAAATCATCTCATCCAGGGCTTATATATTTTGATAACTGTATTTCATTTTGTAACCCTATACATTTTATTCTAAGCATTTAAAAACATTATTCTGCTAGGAGGTCCATAGGCTTCACTAGACTGTCATGGCACACAAAAAGGTCAAGAAACACTGGTCTTGTCTAATCCCTTCCTTTTATAAATGAGGAAACTGATATCCCGAGAGCGACTTGTCCAAGGTCATACTACTAGTTAGTTGTATAATCAAGACTTGATCCCATGTCTACTGACTCCAAATCCAGCCTTCTAAGACCGAAGTTAAGAACACAGAGCCATCTGTTATATATTGTTCAGACATCTACCTGCCTAAAAATCAGGCTGTCTGGACCAATGATCTCTGGAGATGCCCTTTAGTCAAGAACAGCCTGCTCTCTTGGTATGATTTCAGAGGTTCCATGAAGATTGCATTAAGGGTCCCTGATGCTCTGGGATCAAAGAGATAAGCATCATAATTTTAGCATCATAGCAAGTCAGAACCAGAGAGGAGCTCAGAAATTATCTCGTCCAGACCCTCTTTTTGGAGGTAAGGAAACTGAGGCCAGAGAGGGGAAGTGACTTGTCTGAGGTCACACAATGAGCTATTAGCAGAGCAAGAACTGGAACCCAGGTCCCTTGCCTTGGAAGTCCAGTGCTCTCTTCTAACAAAGGCTGAATCCAGTTTCCCTCAATCCTCTGAAGGGTCAAGAGTTGGCTGAGTGAATGACACGGATGTGAAGTGCTCAAGAAATCCTCCCTGGCACCTCTGAATATTCCCATGACATGCCCCGCCTGCCCCCTAGACCCTCTCCCACAGCCCCAACAGCAACCCCAGCCAGAGGTACCTTGTGAGAATAATGCTGATCCACAATCCTCGCCAAGCCGAAGTCACCAATCTTCAGCACGAGATCTTCCGTGCTGATGAAGATGTTGGCCGGTTTCAGGTCCCTGTGTAACACGTTGGCAGAGTGAATGTACTTGAGCCCACGAAGCAGCTGGTACATGAACAGTTTGGCATGTTCCTCGGCCAGTGTGCCCTGCTCCAGCAAGCGCGCTAAGTCTGTTTCCATGTACTCCTGGACAATGTAGGCCATGTTGAACTTAAAAAGCTCCCCGTGAAGGTCAGCCCCCTTGGGTCCAAGGACCTCGTACACCTTCACAATGTTGTCATGGTCGAGGCGGCGGATGATCTTAATTTCCCGCAGCGCATGCTTCATGCTCTGGGCATCGCTCATAGCGATCTTCTTCACTGCCACCTTCCGGCAGGTCTGGCTGTCTGTGGCCGAAAGCACTAGGCCATTGACGCCAAATCCCAGGGGTCGGAAGTCGACAAAGCGCCCGCCAAGGTCATAGCCATACATGTTCGCAATGCAGTCACCCTTCTCAGCCATCATCAGCTCAGTGCTGTAAGGCTACCTGTGTGAGAGAGGAGGGAGGGAGAGAGACTGAGCCCAAGTCACTGTCTCCACTAACACTCCTCATCCCATTAAGTCAAGCATCTGGAAGAAGGTTCTGTCCTGGTGACCTGTTGACCTTCCAATGTCCAGACACAACAGGGGTATGTGTGCTACTCACTGGGGCCAGGGAAGACAGTTTCAAATGAGGTCAAGGAGAAGACTATTCTTCACTCTCAGCAATCTCTGTGTCTAAGTGGTTCAAAATTCTTTGAAATGGAGCATCTTGGTGGAAAGTACCGATGTATTTGTAAAGATGACCATATATCCAGAAAGCATACCATCTTTAGCTGGGGTCTTTTTAACTCTGGTCCTTGAAGTAAGAGCTTCAGAAAGAGTCTCCTTTTAAATCCTTTGTTAATTACAAATTAAAGAGTTCCAGTGGAGACAGTCCTCTGCTCTGCAATTCAGGGACTATTTGGTGATGCCTTAGGACTTTAGGTTTTCAAAAGCTTGGTGGTAATTCAGCGCCAGTGGCTTCTTCCCATGCCCCCAAAATTCAAGGCATTGACTGGCTTAGCCAGCTCTTGGGGCTTCCACTCAAGCGTTCAAACTCAAAGCAGGCAGAATGGCATCAGTGGAGAATGCTGGAGAAAGACTAGGCTGTCATTCACACTGGAGCTCATGGACCACTGCTGGGCAGGTCCTGGGACATTCAGCTTCCTTCCCACAGCTTCAGATGGGAGCAGCTTGGGTAGCACTCTCTCTCACTTCTTCATACTTGCTGCTGTCTGCCTGGTTCCCAATTTCATTTCCAATTAGATCCAAGACTCTCCTAACTGCAGCATCTTTCAGACTGAGCGTCCCCGAAGTAGCAACCCTGGGTAAATTTCCACACTCTGGCTTCTGACACCTTCCCACTTGCATGTCTTTTGTTAATCAGCCCAAATGTTATTTGATCCGTTGAGCAGGTTGAAACACTGCTCACTAGTGGGGTTTCTGGTATAGAGCAGGCAGTCTGGCTAACACTGTTGCCTGTTCACAGCTCTTCTCCTGGAAGAGAGGAAAGATTGATTGGTTTGATAAGACCATCAAATGGTAAGCCTTTTATGTAAATTCCTGTTCTCTGAAGGTTAACATGAGCAAAGCTGTAGGTGGGAACTATCAGCCCTGACCTTTTGGAAATTCATTAGTTATGCTCTTCAAACACACATATCAGCATTGCTCCTCTGAAAGGGGGTAAAAAATAACTCACTGCAGACAAAAGTCAAAGTTGCTACATCCCAGCTTTTCTCCCACACTTTTTCCCACCTCCCTTCTTTTGCAAACATTTGAATACCTGAAGAAATTATTTCCTCTAGACTGAGATCTAGTTAGACTTACGGCTTTTACTAGCTATCTATTTAGGTAATATAAATACATTTGCCAAATTATTGTTATTATTAATAGTAGTATTTGTATAATATTTTAAGGTTTGCAAAGTACGTTACAAATATTATCTCATTTTATCCTCATAATAACCCTGGGAGGTAGGTGCTATTATTATCACTATTTAACAGATGAGGAAACTGAGGCAGGCAGAGCTTAGGTGACCTGCCCAAGGTCAGACAGCTAGTAAGTTTATGAGGCTGTATTTAAACTCAGGTGTTTTGTTTTGTTTTTTCCTGATTCCAGACCAGAGGTTTTATCCACTAAATTGAGAAAATTCTGTCGCAACTACAACAAACAAGACATTCTGTGCTCAGCAACCCAGAACAAAGACCTCTCCTTAATACACTTGGGCACACTGAGCACTCTTTGCTTCTGCAGTGAGTTACAGTCTCTGGCTGTTAACTGCACCTAAAGGGAACACTGTTGTTCAGACCATCATGTAAAGGTGAGGTCTCTGCTATCATCCCCCTGGTGGCAACTTGCTCAAATGACAGATACAATAGCCAGAAATGGAAAGTCCATGGAAGGCTACCTGGACAAACTGATCATAGCTTCTAAAACATGAGCAGCTGTCCTGGGGCTAATAAACCCCATGGGATTAGGGAGAAAGCACATACACCAGGCACCAGGAAGGAGTGATTATGTATTCAGGACAAAGGAGGGAAACAGGACAAGGTAGCATTTTATTGGATAACCACCATGTGTTCAGCTTGCATGGATTTATTAAAATAAATACTGATAGTTGGGCAGAAGTTGCATAGAGACCATCTTTGATGAGTACCTTTAACTTTGTCAGCCTCCTCCCACGCACATGCAACCAGTGAAATAATCAAGTAATACAGCAGCCAGCTCTTAATTCTCTAAGATTAAGGGTAGGGAATAGGGAGCATGGGAAGATACAAAAGGCAAATAATTTACAAAAATCATTTGTGTTTTAATTCCAAATGCATTTACATGTGAATATTGGATAAATACATTCTAGAGATTCTTCACAAAAATAACAAGTAATAACAACGGCAAAAACAATATGGGGGGACAAAGGTCTTTACTATAGTGACAGGAACATAGGGCAAAAGTCCCCAAGTGTACCTTTTCCCCTCAAGTGTCACTTTGACTGAGACATTGAAATCTGAAGGCAATTTACATGGACTATGTGGATAACTACCAGAGGCATGATGGGAGATGTAAGAAATTCACTGAAATAACCCAGTGAGGGGATTATGAGTCAATAAAAAGAAAAGATCTTGACAGCCATGATAGGTCTTAACCAGCCTTGACAGGTCTTGACAATTTCATGAGGGAGTCTTTTGTGTCAGTCAGGTGTGGCATGGCCTTTCTAACAAAAGAGCTGAAAAGGTATTGATTGGCACACAAGCATATTGGCCTGGGCCAGTCTCAAGAGAGGGATAACACTCTCTCCCTGTCCCACCCAGAGGGGAAGCAGCCAACAGCATCACGGCCAATAAGAGCTCTAACAGATGACTCTAGTAGAGAAATAGCAAGTGGATTCAGATACAGATGATGATGGAAGAGGTTGGAGCTTTGGCAGATGATGGCTCTGAAGGCAGAGGAGAGTGACAATGGCAAGGGACCCTCTGGGACAATGGGAACAGTAAGACCCAGTGGGTTTCTAGAACACAGAGATTTGAGAAGTGACCCAGCCACAACACAATCTCACTGGAGACTGTCCAGGGAATTTTCACTTTCCCTTATCAGCATGGGAGTCTGCGAAAGACTGTTTCTCTTTGTGCACAGAAAACTGAGGATGAGTCTATTGCTTGATTATCTGCTATTTATTTGATTGTTTTGTCTCATTTAAGCATTTTGTTATTTGATTTATGGATTACATCTGATCTGTTAGTAGAGAATTACTGGATGGGGGCTTGAACTATATTTTCATTAACTTTGATTATCTAGTTATTATCTAGGCAGCTAGGTGGCGCCATAGGGCATGGAGTGCCGAGCCTGGAGTCAGGAAGACTCATTTTCCTGAGTTCAAATCTGGCCTCAGACATTAGCTGTGTGACCCTGGGCAAGTCACTTATCCCTTTTTGCCTCAGTTTCCTTACCTGTAAAATGATCTGGAGAAGGAAATGGCAAACCACCCCAGTATCCTTGTCAAGAAAACCCCAAATGGGGCCATGGAGAGTTGGATACGACTAAAAACAAGTGAACAACAACAATTAATCCGATATACCATATCCCAAGCTTGCAGTAATGAGGGGTTCCAGTTATATGGAACTCATGCTCCATTATTGTGGCCATTGTTAATTAGGTTACAGAGCTAGAAGCAACTTTAGATGTGAGCTAGTTCAATCCTCACCTTTTATAGTTGAGGAAACTGGAGTCCAGCGAAGGTAAATGATTGGCCAAGGGCCATGGATCTGAAACTAGATCTCATGACTCCAAATACAGTTCTTTCTCCTATGCCATACTGATTCCCATTTACATATTTGTATAATTCCTCTAGTCAGGAACCTTTAGTGGCTCTCCATTGTCTACCAAATAAAGTAAAAACTGATGATCCCAGCTTTGAAAGCCCTGCCTAGGGTGACTCCATTCCAACCTTCTTCCGTGTTCTACACTAAGGCAAAACTGTACTATACATCCCAGTAATTGTTCTTTTCTCTCCTGTCTTATGCTATACCTCATGCCTAGAATGAACCAACCCTCATTAATCCCAATACCTCCAACCCCCTACACACACACACACACACACACACACACACCCCTGGATATCCCTTTTTTTTCAAGGTTCAACTTGAGTGACATTTCTTCTATGTAGCCTTCCTTGATTAAACCTACTGCTCTACTCTCCCCATCCCAGTGAATATTCATTTGATTACAGATTTAGAGCTAGAAGGGACTGTTATATCCAACTCCCTCAATTTACAGATAAGGAAATTAAGGCCCAAGGGTAGTGAAGTCTTGCCCAAGGGCATGCCGAGCATCAGGGGTGGGTTTTGAACACAAGTCCTCAAACTCAAGAACCAATGTTTTCTTCTTCCTCAGGTATCTCACAGCTTTTTGTCTGAGTGTCTGCTTTGCGTCCCTCTTTCTTTCCCTTGTGCCACGGAGATCTGTACATCTTTACTCCCATTAGAGAGTAAGCTCCATGAAGGCAGGCCTATGTTGTACCTATCTTTGTAGCCCCAGCACCTATCATTACACTTTCTTTGCACATGGTAGGCACTTAATAAATAAGAGCCTTACAGTTCTTCAAAACAATCGTAGAAGTACGTAGTTCAAATATTATCATCCCACTTACCAGACAAGGAAACTGAGGCTCAAAGATATAAAACAGGCACATGGTTGGTACACATCAAAGCTACACCAAGAAGAGCCTTTGAAATCCAGGGTTCATTTCATTACAACATACTGCTGTCTTCAACAATTTTACTAAACATTCATTAGACCCAATAATGAAAGAATTAAAAAAAAATCAGAATGAGACAGTTGGGAAAGACCTTTGAGATCATTTAATCCAACCCCCTCATTTGAGGGGTGAGTGAACTGAGGCTGAGTGGGGTAAAGCCTTTGCCTAAACAAAGCCGTAGCTAGCAACAGCTAATTATTGACGAGTCAGGCCTAGAGCCTCCATCCCCTGGCTGACAGCTCAGTGCCCTTTCTGCTCTAACCTGTTAATAAAGCCACACTGGGAAGGCCCCGAATCAGGAGAAGCTAGGAAGCTGCTGTGCTTTCCCATCAGCTTCTGTCTTGGGAATGGGAATCATCAGCCTAACCAGAGCTGACTTAATTCTTTAAGCATTGTTCTTGGCAGGGAAGGTAATTAAGTGTTTCAATTCCTGCTGATTCTGCCTCTCAACGGAGAAAAGCCATAATTCAGGCTTTCCTCATGTTCCTAATTGGTCTCTCTGTCTCTTTTAGCTCCCCTTCTCTAACCATCTTCCTCATAACCCTGAAACAATTATATTTCTAAGGCCTGGGTCTGACCTGTCCCTACCCTACTCAAAAACTTTCCATGGCTCCCCATTACCTACTGCATAAAATACAGACAGACTTCTTATCCTGGCATTTGAGGCCTTTCACAATTTGACTTCCTTTTCAGTCCTGTGTCACACCACTACCTTTCATATATTCTGTTTTCCAGGCTCACACTGCTTTGCTTCACATACTCTGCTTACTTTCTAGGAGACAGAGCTGGGAGAGGTGTCTCAGACACATGTACAGAGGGCTACCAGCTGTTCTACAATCTTGTCTTCTTTCCCATGGTTATGTACTCATGAGTGATCCCCTATACCTAGAACATTCTTCCTTTTTGTCTCAGTCTGTTGAAATCCTTTCAGGGACCTATCTCAAGACCAACTCCTCCAGACAGCTTTCTCTGATTTCTTACCTCACTCTTTCTCCAGATGAAAGCAATTTCTTCTCTCAAAGATTTGCCTGGAACCCTTTGTCTCAATTTCTCTTTTGTCCTGGTTACATTTCACCTTGTATCACACTAATTTTTGCACACATCTTTCATCCCCCCCCCATGAACTGTAAAGTCCTTGGTTGCAGAAAATGGTGGTTTTTTGTTTTTGTTTTTGTATTTTTTTAATCTATGTATCCCCAGAGACAATGAGCCCAACACCTTGTATGTACCAGGAAATAAAAAGAAA